GAAATTGGCCATGGGCCTCTGGCGGCAGCAGCATTTTGGCAGAATTTGGGACTTTGCATCTGGAGTTCGTACACTTGAGCCACCTGTCTGGAAACCCTGTCTTTGCTGAAAAGGTTAGACTGTTCAGTCAAAATCATATTGTAAAAGATAAATCACGTGTTGAGAGACTAAGATCTCTGGGGGGAGATTTGGATTTTTCTCAGTTGTCACAGGAGGTAGATATTTTCTAGATGTTTCCCTAATCACCTTGGTGTGGTTTTGTATTATAAACTCAAAAATCTGTTCCAAAGTCATACGATGCATCGTCTTCTATATAGCTCTTAGCTAGCCCCATAAAACATGTAATTTCTGTTTATGTTCTAAATTAGTATCACATTAAACAGTCAGACTGTAGAGCTTTTTTAGTGCTTCACCTGAATTTGGTGAAAACAAAAATTGACATTATATTGGGGATAATACATGATGCCTATAGAAAGCAAAGCACCATGGCTACCTTGTGTGATTTCAGCAAGTTTAGTCTTCAAAATGCTGTGTAATAGCACTGCTGTCAGTGAGGTCAGAAAGCCCTTCCATTGCACCGACCTTTAAGAAATGTGCTTTGAACTTTCTTTGGCAGAAGAAAAAAAAAAACCCAAAAACATCCTTTGACAAAACAGTTGTTGTGTTTACTAATTCCAAAATTTGATAACATTGTCTTCTGCATACTTTTTATTTGCTTGAGCCATGGAAAGCAACTCCTCCTTCCCTCAATTCCCACCTAAGCAATTTTGCTTTGCTCTTTGGCATGTAAGTAGTCAGCAAGTCCTGATCTTTGTAATACACTCTATCAATTATCTTCTTTTTTTTTTCCCCCCTAATTAAAACTTCCACTTGTTTTGGATTTGTATTCTTACTGCAACTGCCTCATGTTACCTAAAACTGATACTATCTATCTAATAATCTAATTAAGAATGAGACTGCAAATGTTTAGCAGTAGGTTTAAAAGCAATGGTCAAATCTAAAATGAATACTAGTTGTACCAAACTGAAAGGAGTGAATGACTTTGCTGCAGTACCATTGTCATGGCTGCAATAAATTTTGAGAAACAAACTCCTAGCAATTTTAATGTATTGGGGGGTCAATTTAAAGACAGTTTCTGTTAAACAAATCCGAACTGGGATGGGGGGGTGGCAACACCCAGGAACAGCCAGAAACCAACTTACTAGATAACTTAATTATCTTTTGACATTTATGGTGTAACATCTGTTCTACTAAGAGACAATTAACGTGTGATGAAAATGCGTATGTTAAAAATCCTAGACTGTGGTTCTCTTCCAAAGTGGCATTGAGCTATAGCTGCAAGGTGCTAGAAATCTGTTTATGCAAGCTGCTCTTAAAACCCTTTAGAGATTGCAGTTCCACAGCCCTGCGAGGCAAGCCATTCCAGGGCTTGATAAAGAAGAAGAAACACTGGAATAAGCTTTGCATGGAAGTATTCATAGAATAATTCATTAAATGAGGTCTAGGAGTCATTGCAGTCTGCATTTGGGCAACAACTGTCAGCAACGTAGTGTCAAGATGCAGAAGGCAGTTTGCCTACCACCACCGAAATCCTTCTGCAGCTTGGTGTAAGCTAATTTATCTTCTTCCTCAGCAGCCAGTTCACTTGGTCTCTAGGCATTCAGGGTGTTACAATGAAGCTGTCAGTACCTTTTTGTTACGATTTCTGGTCTGTGGTGCTCAGGATCTTTACTCTCCCAAATTCTACATTTTCTGTGAATGTTAAAATTCAGTATAAATTATTTCACGCGCTCTGCAACGGCTTGTGCTGCTGGATGACTCCAGCTGCAGAGCATCTGGACTGTAATTGTTTCCCCAGGCCTCTCATTTGTAGCGAGCTCCTTAACAGTGCCGGCGGAGCGCTCGGGGCTGCATGGGTTCCACCTGGGCAAGCTGGTTGTACGAACCTCAGTTCCAGCAGTGCTCTCCTTTCCAGGCAAAACTGCTTTACAATTCACTTCTGCATCTGAACTAGGTGATGGGCTTAATATTTAATACCATTTCTGATTTGGGCATATGAGGAATATAATGCTGAAGTAGCGGAGCTTAGTGAAGGCAACTAGCCTCCGTGAATTTCAGTATCCTGCGGAGGGGCGAGATAACTCTGTATGGCAAATCCTGAACTTTGGAGCTTGCTTCTCTGGTGTTGTTTCATTACTGACACTTGACACAGAAACTCCAGAGGTTTTGAGGAGCTGGCTTACGTGATGATATCAGCTTAGAGGATCTTTTTTAACAGTAATATGATTGCACAGAAGTATTCAAGTATATGTATTGAATAAGACACTTATTTTTAAGGGTATTTCCACTTTAAGATTTTTGTACCGATGCTGTTTTATTTTGGGGGGGAAAATGGATCAGTGCTCAGTATTTTGTACCCTTCCAATAGGTAATGAATATTCGAAAAGTTCTGAATCGACTAGATAAACCAGAGGGCCTTTACCCCAACTATCTGAATCCCAGCAGTGGCCAGTGGGGCCAGCGTAAGTAGATCACTTCTTTGGTTCTATGACCTGTCCATCAATGTGGTGTTTGCAGTCGTTAACGTCTTTCAATCACTGTTATGTGTTTTTCGTATATATGTATATATAAAGAACTTTTATAAAGTATGAAAACTCATATCTGAGGTTCTATACAATGTAGAAAATACTGCAAATATAAAAATAATAATCCTACTTGCTGTATTTTAATGCCGTTTTCTTTGATCTTTCAGTATGGCTTGTGCAAGCGGGGAAATGTCTGAATATGTATCATTTTGGAAAGGAATTTGTAGACTACAAAAGTCTTTTATTCAGAAATCTAAAGTGCTCTCTAAAGTAGCTGTTTAAGGAAACATTATCAACTCGTCTGAATGAAATTCCATATTTTTAGAGTGGTATGGCACCACTGAAGATAAAATAAAACAAGTCTTTCCAGTTAATACCAGCTGTGATTTCTGTTGGAGTTTAATGCCAGCAACTGAGGAAGCAAACTAAACAGAACTGTGTCGTGGCATTAATCTGCTTGAAACCATTACTTGGCACTAAAATTAGAAGGGAAACTGTATAATAAAATGCTTGAAGTATTTGAACTTAGTGCCTTCCTGATGACAGCCTTTTCTTGTTGTACATTGCCCTCTCCATTCTTCATGACATGTTCAAAGCCTATACAGTATGCAGGATAATGATTCTAGAGACCCTACTTCTTCTCCCACTTTTCCTACTTAGGTTCAGTCTACCACCATCCCATTCATCTGACTCAATGTTCTCGTACTTTTTCCTCCCTACATTACTGAAAGAAAACAAGCAACATATGCTCTCTTGGTCTGAAAAGACAGGGGCAGATGAGATGGTCCTGTAGATTATCAGTGTTGGAGCTGGTTAGATGACACAAGAGAGGGAGAGGACTGGAGAAGTTTTTTGAATATAATATTTTGTTTAGGATGCAGCTAAGATGAAACTGAGGTTCTAGAGTCCTTATAGGACTGGCCATAGTCTGGATAGGTAAGATAATTTTTGCAAAGGCAAAGAACGAGTGTTTTATTGAATAAAATGTATTTTTTAATGTTTTGTGTCACACTCTAGATGAAAAATACGTCCAAATAGATTGTGCTTCTCAGTTGTATTGTCCCATCAGGGCAAAGGCCATTTGCCTTTATGAATTAGAAATATGCCCGTCATTTTCGAAAGCCTTTAGTCTGCTATGCTGTGAGGCTTCCTTCAGGTCACCGTGCCACAAGGCCTGTGGCAGCTCAGTGTGCATAACCATCAACTCCGGCTGGCACCTCGGTATAAACTCTGACATCCATTTACAGATCTGAGAGATGCGTGCCCACTTGTTACCCATGTTGGTTTAGCACAGCTTTGTAAAACATTAAAACCTCCCGCTGGAAGTGTTGATCCTACAGCAATAGGCGCTGGGTTTGGTTAGAAGGTCACCTCAGCATCTGTGAGCCAGGTCCAGTTACCTCCTTCCTCAGCTTCAGTCAGCCACAAAAACTCAGCTTTTTGGTGAGCTGCATGAGAGCAGATCTTTCTAGTGGCTGACACCGTAAGTGGCTCTGCCTTATTTATTCTAAAGCAGTCAGATACTTACTCTGCCTTGTGGCCTTTGCCATTTCCCTATTTTTAATACAATTTTGTCTTATGTACTCCTCATTCACATTAAATGCCAGTTTTAATTGGTGTGCACAGGAAAACTTAGTTTATACCAGCTCTGCTCTGCTTTCCAATAGCATGTAGTATTGACAAAGAAATAGCTTCCCATACATGCAAATGATGGACACAAATGTTGATGCAGGTCAGCCCCTAGCGTGCTGAAGCAGCAAAAGCAAATTCGATCTGGTTGCATCTCTTCCAATTCAGTTGCCTCCATTTGCAGACACTGATGTATTAATTTTTTTCCCATAGTAGAAGATCAGAATGTAAGACTTGAGAGATGCTTCACTTGAGATTGCTTTTCTAGGCTGTTTTCAGTTGATTACAACAGGAAAAAAACCCAAGTCTCTTAATTGGTACAAGACAGAAGTATTATCTCTCTAACATCAAGTGGGGAGGGAGGAATATTTTCTGAACATTTCTTTAGTAATGCCGTAACTGTGAAGGACACTGCTGGATCACTGCCATTGTTCCTGTAAATTCATTTAGCCCTTGTTATTTTGACAGTAAACTGACAGTGATTTGCTGCAGCGTGCGTCAATTGGATTTGTCTACTGCAATAATGTATATAATAACAGGGCTTATTATTGATGAAACTGTGCTTGTGCTATTTAGCTTGCAAATGTCAGAGGTTTCTATGGTAATTTATTTAGGAAACCGTAAAGGTCATTTAAATGCTGCTGTTCAAAGATCAGCCTTCGATCATGGAAAATGTTCTTTTTTTTTTTTTTTTTTTAAAAAACCTTTTTTCCTTTTGGCCTCTACAAATTAT